CAAGTAGGCACAACCACGCAAATAGCAAACATGGTGGATAAAACGGTGAGGAATCGTCTTAGTACATTAAGGAGACAAGGAAATTACAAAGATGCTCTTGTCGAATGGTTTGCAAGTGCGACTAGAACAAGAAGAAGCTAACGTCGAACTTTGTTGTAAAATGCAAAAATCTAAAAATCTGTTAAATTTGTAGTTTTCATTGTAAAACAGTTGGTTTTTGAATGAATAATTTAACATTCTTTCAAAAAAAAAAAAAAATGTTGAGATTGTAAATGACTTTTCTTTTGATATGTGTCACACAAAAGAAATGTTCAATATAAAAGTTTAAAATTTGCTTGTAGAATTGCTGGAAACTTGGCAACTATCTATGTATGTACATTTTGTTTTTTCTTCTTCTACTCTTAGTAAGTAACAACTTAGTCTCTAGTCCGAATTAACCACCCGATCGAGAGACAGAGAACCACACAAAGAAACATTGACTAAATCCAAAAAACATATTGAAGAGGAGAAACATGGTTGAGATCAATCATGTTGTTTGCATGAAACTTGGTAAAAACCATCGAGCTCTAGAGAGTGGAGCGGACGAACGATCAAATTTGTGAACTAGCTCCATCTTCTGCGTCTCGAGATTGAAAAACAAGATATCAGTTGCGTTCTTTCCATACCTATGACTGAAATAGATGGAATTTCTATTGAATCCCTCCATGTCTTTAGCGAGCACAGTGATGCCTAGATCCAAAAGCATTGCCTCGTCACCCAACGAATCAACTTGTTCAGGTTTATTCCAAACCCCTGATGAATAAAACTTGGAGACGCGAAAGGACCATATTCTAGACCTAGGTCTTAACATTTTCTCAACTTTGAGGACATCTCCTGTTACCGTGACTACAAGTTTTGTGTCGCAAAAGCGGTCCATGAATCACTTGCATGACGGTGACGACGAGGATGATGAACTAATTCAAAACTATCAAACATAAGACCACATTCAAATGTTTGTCGCGGAGTTTCTCTAGTAAAATCGAAGATATGGTAACCACCAAAGTAGCTTAAGAAGTAAAGCTTGTGATCCTTGTAAACCATGTGTAAACAACAATTAATTTTGGGGATTTGACTCCACGAGGTGTCTCCTTTCTTGGCATAAAATACACACCACTCTCCAAGTCCCCATACAACTACGTAATCTTTAGTTTTCTCATCAATCCACAACACAGGGGATTGTATAGTAACACCTCTATATTGCCTTCGGCTTGTAATCAAAAACGGTTGTTGT